AGTCGGGTGCAGGGTTGAGGCGCCATAGCAGAGGTGGCCGTTGAAGGTGACAGTCCGCCATAGCGGACCTGAGGTGGAAGAAGCCGCCGCGGAGCTGCAAGGAGACCAGGACGAAGAAGAAGATAAAGAGAGAGAGAGAGAGAGAGAGAGAGAGAGAGAGAGAGAGAGAGAGAGAGAGATGAGTGATACAAGATTGGGTTACTACCTGCTGCGCTGAAGATACCGCTACGGCGAGAGAGAGAGAGAGAGAGAGAGAGAGAGAGAGAGATGAGCGATCCAAGATTGGTTGTCGCTTACCTGTGAAGCGAGCTGCGTTGTCCGGCGGAGGAGGAAGGTAGCGGCCATAGCCGCGGAGCTTCATCACAGGGCACCGAAGGAGAGAGATAGGGAGGACAGAGAAGGAGGGACTGAGGAGAGAGAGAGAAGTGAGGAAGGAGGATATCGAAGAAGAAGACAGACATAGCCGGGGGTGAACAAAAAAAAAAAAAAAAAAAAAGAGAAACAGCAGAAGAGAGACAGTGAGGGTGACGAAGGTGAAGGTGCCGACAGCCATAGCCGAGGTGAAGGGTTGACCAGAGGGTTGACCAGAGGGTTGACCAGGCGTTGACCAAGGGGTTGACTGAGCGTTGACCAAGAGTTGTCCGCGTTGACTCGACGTTGACCAAGGCGTTGACCAGAGCTGCTGACGAAGATTTTGACCAAGCTGGAGTTGGTGATATCTCGCTGAGCCCTTAGCCTATCCCCTTACCCTGTGGATGGGCACACACCCTACGGTACTTGCTGAGTCTTGAGTCTGTCTGTCTTTCCTTTCTGCATTGAGTCTCTTCTGTCCTAGGTGTTAGGACTCTGTGGATGAAGGATAGGGTTGGATGACGAAACCTTAGTCTGACTTTGTAGGGATGAGGCTGGGGCTGATCCAACTTTCCAGGGGGGCATAACCCTCCCAAGGACCGGTGCTGACCGGCTGGAAACGGTTGGTAGGACTCAGTGGGCCTGAACGGCAGCTAAGGCTGACACACCAGCCAGTCTTTAAGTATTGAGGGCCTGTTTGAACCACCCCCCTACCGGACCAAGTAAGGTTGATGATCTGTGTCTGACGACTCGACTGTCCCGGGGGACACGAACCCCTCCAAGGACCGGTACAGACCGGCGGGCTGCTCGGTGTGGCACAGTAGGCCGGAAAGGCTGAGTTGTGGGTTGAAAGCACAGGCAGAACTACGCTGACCACGTCGTCCTGACTGTGACGTTAAAGAATTCTTGCGGAGTTTGGGGGATCTCCTTAAATGCCTCCAGATCAGCTGTTGGTTCAGTAGTGACAGTCTTAGAGTAGTTTTGAGTAGTGATCTTAGAGAGTCAGTCAATAGGTCAGTGTCCGGGTAGGTCTAAGTGGCAAGGAGTGAGACTCTTGTCGTGCACCTGACACCACGATGGATGACTATCCGATGTATGGGTTGCTTGTTGGGTTCTCCCTCTGGGGGACCCTTTGGCGTCTCCTCTTTCCTCTGGGCTTTTGGCCCACCTTTACGTGTAGAGTAGGGCTTCGGGGTGGTACTTCCACCCAGCCATACACGAAGGAGGAGGAGGAGAAGATGGCCGCCATCCTGAGGGAAAGAAAAGAGAAGAAAGAGGCCAAGAAGAAGGCCCTACAGGAGGAGCATGCGACCAAGTTGAAAAAGATTGAGGAAGAGATGGCCAGGGAGAAAGAGAGATTGAAGAAGGAAGAAGAGGAGAAGTTGAAGGAGGTGGACGAGGAAGAGGAAGAAGATGAAACGCCACTGCAAAGGAAGAGGGGGCAGTACAGTGGCAGCAAAGATGATGAGATGGAAAAACGGATTTCAGAGTGGGTCGCCAACTTATCCCTGGGCGAAGAAGAAGAAGTGGCGATATATATTCCCAAGGATGAGCAAGAAGCCGCTATGAAAAAGTGGGACGCAGAAGAAGATGTCCTGAAGCGGCAGGCGTTGGAAGATGAGAAAAGGATGGAGTGGAAACTGGCAGTGATGAGGGAGAAGAAGAGGAGAGTGGACGTGGCAGCAGAGGCGGCGGAAGAATTGGAGGAGGTAAAAAAGATAGAAGAGCAATTAGCCGCCCAGGATGAACTCCCAAAGAAAATGGAGGTCATAGCCCGGAATGTTGCACGCTTAGCGAGAATTCAGGCAGAGCAGTATGACTTCAGTAGGAGTCAGCATATAGCTGTGCGTTCGATACGATTCGGATTTCGGGACTTTGCTCGTGAGTTGGTGGGAGCTGTAGGAACCGAGGTGGGCCATCGCCTCGACAAGACTGAGAGGTTTTGTGCTGGCGCCATTGAAGGCGTCAAGGCGGCAGTTCCCAAGGAGGAGGAAGCACGCCCTCGCCGAGAGCCGGTCAAAGTCAAATTCCCTGATTCCTACAGTGGAAAACGGGAAGAAAACTTTGACAATTGGGAGGCCAATGTCAAGACCTATGTGCATCTGCAACAGGTATCCCCGGATCAGCATGTTCTAATTGCGATCCACTCGCTTAGAGATGAGGCCGCCAGCTTCGCAAGGTCCCTAGTTCGTGCGGCCAACAGCAATGATGATGCAGTTGCGTATTCGTCGTTCACTCCCCTCATCGATTTCTTGAAGTTGCTGCGCGAGCGATTTGCTGATGTTGCTCAAAGTGTCGAAGCCTCAGATAAGCTCCTGACAATCCATGCTTGTAAGTGGAAGAGTGTCAGGGCACTCAAGAGCACAATGGATGAATTAGTGGCTGTACCTGACCACGGGGTCACTGACACCCAGTCGGTTGCCCTTTTCTATCGGGCTATGCCCGAAGCCTTTCGAGGGCATTTCTTCGCGAAGAGCGAAGATCCTGCCACCACGTACGATTCCCTTAGCCGTGAAGTGGTGACCTTTGAAGCAAAGTCGGTGTCAGTTTCCTCATTATGGCACAAGGACTTGGATAAGGGAAAGCAATGGAAGGGCCGCACTATCTCAGGGCAAGTAAAGACTAAGGATAGTCTTGTCCTAACTTTAGATGAGGGTAGTGTGGATGAAATCCCCTACGATCAGATTGAGTGGGGGTTAGAGGAGGAGGACAGTTGTGTGGGTCAGGGGAGAACTTACGCTGCTGTCGCGGCTGGAGCGAGGCCGCAAGGAGGAGGACGAGGCCAGGGCCAAGGGGGTCGGGCCTCAGGGAGCCGGTTTCAGGGCGATCAGGGGGTTGGCGGCAGAGGAGGAAATCGCCAAGCGGGAGGAAGGGGTCAAGGTCCCCCGCAAAACCGTCCTAGGAACAGGTCTCCTTATAGGGTAGGAGGATGACACCTAGGGCTGCCACAGGGTAGGCCTTGGGAGACTTTGGGTCTGGACCAGAGCCTATGGCAACAGCGATTGGACCGGGGCCAGTGCATTTTCTGCGGTGACCCGGGCCACATCATTAAATACTGTCCTAAGTATCGAGAGACCCGAACGGCTGCTCAAGGGCCAAAAGGCAGCCGCCGGTAGGGGTAGCAACTGCCCCTACCACCAGGCCATGTGGGGAAATTAGCGCTAGCCGGCAAGAGACTCCCACACCACATGTGCCTATGGCAGAGGTTGCAGGCCGGTGTCTAGATAGCTGCCCATAGACTGCTTGTGTTAGGGTCTCTCTAGACGCCTCCCTCACAGGCGTGGCCGAAGAATTGAAGGAGAGGATGCCCGTCTGGGCCAAGATGAAAAAGGAGAATAAAGGGCAGCTCATATTGGTAGATACAGAGATTTTTAGAAGTAGAGTTGGCGCCTTAGTGAATAGTGGAGCCACTCATAGTTATATCAGTAGGAAGGCGCAATAGAAGCTGAAGTTGCAATTAAAAGTCCAAAAGTTAGCAGACCCTGTAGTCAGTATCCTTGCGGATAATCGCACGACGCGAGTAGAAGACTACGTAGAGGGAGTCCAGGCGTATTTCCGCCTACAGAGGGATGGGAAAGTAGAGAAAGCTCTCCATTCCCTGACTCTCCTCGTAGAGGATAGCCTCCCATTTGATGTAGTCATGGGTATGGACTGGGGAGAGGCAGCCGGGGCCACACTCCACTTGAGGGAGCATGAGTGTAGCCTCCCTAGCCCGTCAGGCGATGTCAAGACTGCGCGTCTGTACCATGTGTCAGGAATAGATAACTCCTTGGCACATTGCTGCCTTAGTGCTCCTGCATTTGCATGATTAGTGAAAAGGGAGCAGCTAGAAGAGCAGGTCTTAGTAGTCTATGTTAGGCCAGTCACTGAGCCTAAGGAAGAGAAGCCTATAGACCCTGCTATTGCCAAGTTGCTGGAAGAGTTTAAGGACCTAGCTGAGTCGTCGACAGGAACAGTGTCGCGGCCCATCCAGCACCGTATTGAGATAGAGCCTGGCAGTAGAACTCCTAAGGGCGTTGTTTATAGGATGTCCCCGTGGGAGTTAGAGGAGATTCGCAAGCAATTGGACGAGCTCCTTGAAAAGGGTTGGATTAGGCCCAGTTCGTCTCCTTGTGGAGCACCTGTTCTCTTTGTCCCCAAGAAGGAGGGAGAGCTAAGGATGTGTATAGACTATAGGGGTCTGAATGCTATTACAGTGAAGAATGTTGAACCACTATCGAGGATAGATGATCTTCTAGATCGAGTGCAGGGGTGCAAGTATTTCTCTAAGATAGATTTGAAGCATGGATATCATCAGATAGAGGTTCACCCTGATGATCAGTACAAGACCGCGTTCCGGACTAGATATGGGCATTATGAGTTTATAGTGATGCCCTTTGGACTAACCAATGCGCCAGCAACTTTCCAGCAGTGTATGAATGACCTGTTTAGGCCTTGGTTAGATAGCTTTGTCGTAGTTTATCTGGATGATATCTTAGTGTTTAGCAAGACCCTCGAAGAGCATCAGGGTCATCTCAGGCAGGTCTTGGAGAAGCTGAGGGAAGCTAACTTCAAGATCAACGCAAAGAAGCGCGAGTGGGCGAAGACCCAAGTTTTGTATTTAGGCCATGTCTTAGACGGAGACGGCATCAAGCCCGAAGACAGCAAGATTGCAACGATTAGAGATTGGCCGGCACCGCGTACGTTGACAGAGTTGCGGTCGTTCTTAGGCCTAGCAAACTACTATAGGAAGTTCGTGAGGAACTTCTCCACCATCGCTGCACCCTTTCGCAGATTGCTCAGGAAGGAGACCATCTAGAAGTGGGATAAGGACTGCACGTCTGCTATGAAGAAGTTGAAACAGGTGTTGATAGAATATCCAGTCCTTAAGGTAGTCGATCCGTCCTTGCCCTTTGTCGTCACCTCGGACGCCAGTCAGTACGGCATAGGTGTTGTGTTGCAGCAAGACGATGGCCATGGTTATAGGCCCGTAGAGTTCATGTCCGCCAGAATGCCTTCAGAGAAGGTCGCGACATCTACCTATGAGAGGGAACTCTATGCTCTCAGGCAAGCCTTAGAACACTGGAAGCACTACTTGCTTGGGAGGCACTTCAAAGTCTATTCCGATCATGAGACATTGAGATGGTTAAAGACGCAGGCCAAGATGACACCTAAGCTTACTAGGTGGGCCGCAGAGATAGATCAGTATGACTTTGAGCTCAAGCCAGTCAAGGGAAAGTATAACGTAGTTGCGGATGCTCTAAGTAGGAGAGTTGATTACTTTGGGGCGATAGTGCATTACCTAGACATAGGGAGCGACCTGCAGCAGAAGATTAGAGAAGCCTATGCGCAGGATCCTATCTATAGTGACCTCCTCAAGAGAGTCAAGGAGGCCCCAGAGACTGAGCCGAACTACCGCACTACTGAAGGGTTGCTCTTTGAGAAGACTAATGTATTTGACCGCTTGTGCATTCCCAGTAGCGAAGAGATCCGTAGTCTGATTTTGGGAGAATGCCACAACACAGAGGGTCATTTTGGTTGGCAAAAGACTTTAGCCAATCTGATGCGCGCATATACCTGGCCAGGGATGAAGAATGACTGCGTAGAGTATGTTCGCAGTTGTAAAGTATGCCATCGTAACAAGACTTCTACGCGAGCCCCGTTAGGTCTTCTCAGACCCTTGCCCATTCCGGATCAGTTGGGAGACTCAGTGTCCATTGACTTCATGGACACCCACGTCAAGAGTAGACATGGTAAGAGCCAAGTCATGGTCATAGTTGACCGTTTTAGCACATATGCAGTTTTGTTCCCTTGCCGTCAGAGGCACGTACAGATTTCGTGATACAGAAGTTTTTTGACTGCTGGGTTAGTGAGAATGGAATCCCACTGTCAATAGTTAGTGATAGAGATAGTCGCTTCACCAGCCAGAACTGGCAAGAACTCATGGGAGTGTATGGATCTAAGTTGTAGATGTCGTCTCGCTGCCATCCTGAGACTAACGGTCAGACAGAGCAGATGAACAAGATCCTACAGCAAGTTCTGCGCATGTACATTAGGCCAGATCAGATTAACTGGGATGAGATGTTGCCTAAAGTAGCTAGTGTGTATAATAACAGCGTGCATCTGTCCACCTGCCGCACTCCCAACGAACTGCACAAGTCCTTTAGACCGCGCAGACCGTTTGAAGGACTCAACCGGGATCAGATTCACAGATTACCGCCCGAGACCAGGGAGTTTGCTGTACAGCACGAGAAAGAACTAGCAACTGTTGTAGAGAACCTCAGGAAGGCCCAGCACAGGATGATAGAGCAAGCCAACAAACATCGTCGCCCCTCACAGTTCCAAGTAGGCGACTTAGTCTGGGTCAGTTCTAAAGAGTTTGCACCTGAGGAGAACATCTCGCAAAAGTTACTGCCCACCTATAGAGGACCGTGGTCAGTCTTAGAAGTCAA